TTTTGAATTTTGAACGACGTACCTTAATCATCTGAGATTCAGCTATAGTAATTGTTTTCCTGTGGAGGAAATATGGAGTTTTCTGATGAAAATAAAAGTCTCTGTGGTAGGATATTTTACTCCAGATACAGAGAGACCTGACTGTAGGCTGCTTACTCATGTTATTTTAAAGATGGAAAAACAAAGAAACAAAGAAACACCTGGCACAAATAATACAATTGTGTAACAGTGAGAGTTTTAAGAAAAAAATATATATACTTTTCAAACTAGAGAAAGATGGGATGATTTAAATTTTTCTCAACACTCATTCCCACACATTGAAAATTATGCTAGGTTTGAAAATAATATTTGTGAAAGTTTGACTCATGGCTTTTTCTTTGGGTCAGTCCTACACTGGTTCCAACACCAGACTAAGAAGAGTCACAGGATTTCAATGCTTTCTACATAAACACTGCCTGGATTTCATAATCTTCCACTCTTTGAGGTGCTGCTATTAACAAAATTAGGCCAAAAAAAAGGTGTTTTGGAGCATAATCTGGGGAGATATCAGGACAGCTGCAGAGATAGCCTTCTCTTTGGTTCCTGTCTTACATCCAGACCCATTTCTTATGTTGCTTCATGCTCAGTGAGATGTCACAAAGTATGAGCTGACTGCCCTACAGCAAAATCCACCTAGGGAAACGCTAGCAGATGGAGTAATGCTTCTAAACCTTCTAAGGCTGGAACCAGTGAATTATTTCCCTCCCCTCAGTTTTCCTCTCTTTACTTCCCCCAGAACTGCTCTCAGGGAAGATTATGATAATCGCATAGTTAAGAGTCCAGGGGAATTCAATATTCCTAGATTTTCATCTGTTCTTTTTTTTTTTTTAATACATCTGTTCTTTTTAATCAAAAGTTGAGTGTACTTTTCATCAGAAATCTCTGAATTCTCCAAAGTAGAAGTCGTGCAATTTATACCCTCACAGGAGAGTGTTTCCAAACCATTTTCTTGTAGTTCATGTCAAAGGTGAGGAAGATTGGAACCTGTCCCGGTAACAGTCAGCTAACAGGCTTAGAGAGAGTCGTCAATACGGCAAAATTCAACATTTTAAAAACAGAAGTGGAACCATGGTTCTATTAAGGCATTGCCACCCTCACCCTTGCACACAAGGTTGGTTTGTTGTTGTCAGAGACATAAGTGCCCCACTTTTGCACCTGGGTTAATGCTACTACTCCAAGTTCCTTGGTCACCTAAGGAAGTTCTTCCCAAACCGGAAGTTGGAACCATCAGTAGATATTCAAGGGCCTCCAAACAATTAGAACTCTAAGGGGCGCTCCCAAAAGTTCAGAATATAGCTACACAACTTGACTTCATCTGCTTTGAGTTTTGTACAGTGGGGTGTTCAGAAAAGACATTCTCTGAATAGATCAAATGAAGCTGAAGGGATGCACAGAAGAGCTGACACCCAGGATCTCCTATAATAGTAACCCACGTGCTTTCTAGAGTGCACGTCTGTTTTTCCCCAGCCCACATACTATTTTCTTGCTATCATGTATACCTGCGCAACAGTCTTACTGAGCAATGGGGCAATATTCTGGGCCAAGGCAGGATGCTTTTCTTAATGGAAAGTAGTTGTATTGCTAAGGAAAAAAGTTCTTGCAGGTGATCTCAAATCTGGAGATTTCCCCCCGACCCCTAATCCCAGATGATCAGGTCACTACAATCATAAGACAGGGCACATCACCAACCCAGTGTTTGAACATTTTATTGAGCCTCAGAAAGATTTAGCATTTCTGTGAGAGGAACTTTCCTGGGAACTCGACCCTGCTTTTCTTGATACTAGATAAAGGACCCATCTTCTTAACTTACTGGAGTTCATTATTTGCATAACTTTTTACTGACCCAGTGTTTTAATAAACCCACTGTTTGGTCAGTATATCAAGAATCAGTCAAACATATTGTCTGATTGAATTTACCCAAGGCTTAGAGCGGTAGTCCTGTACCAGCATGTCTATTTATCTGGGTATACTGTATTGTTGCCTCTTGATAACAGCAGATTCATCAGAATAGACATTCTTGACCTGGGTGCCAATGAGGGGGCAGAGAATGACCGAGGACAGTAGTACAAGCCAATGAAAATACAAGTTGACAAACACACTATGTTTTCCAAATATTTAAATTTTCATGGAGATATTTGATTTGATGATTTACAATAAAATGTTTTCCTGCTCCCTTCATCTAATCATTCTGGCAAATTCAAATACTTTTCACTTAATATTTGAATGTGTAAATCTAATTTCTCCATTTTCCTCTGTCTGGGTATACTATCTCTTTAGTTCGCCTGTTGAAAGATATCTCAGTCCTACTTTTTAAATAAGCAATTACATTAGTAATATGTGTGCCATCATCTTCAAGATTAAAAATAAATTAATGCTGATTTGTCATCCTCTCTTTAAAACTGCTTTTCATCTTGAAAGTGATAATCCAATGTAAGACCCAGAAACAACTCAGATTGTTTGATGTTTATGCAACTAACAGTTTTAATTAACTGGGACACATGTATTTTATAGGTTTCAATGAGCAATAAATTAGCATGATGTAAATATAAGTATGTTACACTGACTTTGAATATTCCTTGTCAAAAGTACACCTATATTTTGAAATTACTATGTTTGTTAAGGTGACTTCTATTGTCTGGAAACCGGGAATTATCATAAGAGAACTTTTGTGGACAATGTATTTTAAGCCATGTCAATAGTTTTAAAAAATTGTCCATTAACATCTATTTGGCTTTGCAAAATCTGCAGGAATTCTACCAATACTTTTCAGTGCTTGTTCTTTCTACCCTGATCTTTCCCATTCCCCTTCATTGTGTCTTACTAATCCACCAGATCGAGGCAACTTCCTCAGTAGGAAGATCTCAATAAAAATCAAAGACCAAGAGGCGAGTCTATTGGAATCACGAATTCCACTCCTTTGTTGTCGTCGATTTTCTTTTTTAAAAAGGCACACTTTTAACTTTTTTTTTTTTTTTTTTTTTGTGGGGAGGGGTGGTTAACATAAACCAGATTCTAATTTCAGGGAGCAAAACCAGTTACTACAAAAGTCAATACTCAGAAATTAATGTATTTTTCGTTTGGATCACCTATGGAATAAATTAGATTTTTTTAACCTCTCAAGTAATTAGTGATTTTTTTCAATCAGTCTAAAAAAAATGCCTCTTTTCATTATTACCTGCCTTTTCTCAGTAGGCAACACGGCAGTACAATTGACAATGAGGTGCTTTGAAACATCAGATTTCTTTCCAGTGGGTCAGGAACGCTTTTTCTTTTCCTCATTTCCTGTAGTACAGGAAGGATGAGAGCCCGGGGCCAGGACACTGTTGTCACATCAGGAGTGGAAGAGGGGTTTACTATGATCCTTTTAGCTTTGTGCCTCAGAAGCATCTCCCGAAGCCCTGGGTCTGATGTGGAAATCTGACATAAGAAAAGAGACTTGGGCGGTCCTCTATCTGGCTCTTCTTCCACCTCTTCTATAAAAGATTAAACAAAACTGATGGGATGAGTTGAGATGCTTCACTGCCAACCAAACTACACCTGGGAGTTTGTTTTTCCTTTAAGTGATCTTGTGAGGCTGGTGGGGGCCTCCATCTTGATTAATGATGATCATCCTATAATAGCAGCCGGAAATGGTGGTACCACGGTTTGGTGTGAGTTTTTGAGAAAGAAAATTAGGCTCTTGAAAGATATTTCTCATCAGAAACTGTCGATATATTAAAATGCATTTAAAAGTTACTTCTGGGAAACATATTAAATAGGCCAATCATTTAATCATTTGCTAAATGTCAAACCCTATAAAATCATGGTATAATGTCACCCTGACATAAAGCAACATCAAAATTAGTGCATCATCTATAAAGTGAAGTATCATTTGCCTTCAAGTGACAAATTCTATCGCCAAAAAATACCACTGTACTTCTAATAAGTGACACTCATTTTAATAGACCCTACAAAAATACAGTATTTTCAATGTCCCCATAAAACAGTTAACTTACAAATATTACTCTCAGAGCTTTGGTGACATCCATATATGATACTATTGTGAAAATCCTAATAGAATACTTGAAACACTAGCATGTAAACTAAATCCATTATAT